GATAGATAGATAGATAGATAGATAGATAGATAGATAGATAGATAGATAGATAGATTTATAGAGCTTTTCTTACTTTGAATTTTTTTTTTGGTTTTTCAGACTCAAGAAATCAGATGACTTTTGCCCACTTTGGTAAGGACTGACTTGTATTGTTGTTCACACTGTGGATTTATCTACAAACTTCTCTGGAGGAACACAGAAGGAATATTTCAGCAGCTATCATAACCTTCCTTAGAACAATGCCACCAGTGCACAAAATTATCCATCATGAAGATTTTTTTTTATGATCCTTCAAATTTATTTTCTCTTACCCTTGCATGTAAAGGATGGTAATGATTGGGCTTACTAGAACTGAGAAGAGTCAGCAAGGTTTCATAAAAAAAGAAGGTTAAAACTACCTGTTTAAATTCCTAGGATTATCTGACAGTTGTTTGTTGTTGTTTTTACCCCGTTGGATTCTTTTTTCATGTATTCAACTTTGTTTTGTTCACTTTTTCTTTCATGCTTTGGAAATTTAATTTGTCTTGTTTTAATAAAGTTATCTTTTTACCTAGATACTTTAGATATGAACATTAGAATGGAAACACACTTGTTCAGGGATGAAAAATTTAAGGATACTGATGAAGTCATGGAGCTGGAGGATGGATTAACAAATCAAAACTGTCTATATAATAGTATCGAATTAATACTCTTTTCAGCTCCATCTCACCCTCCCATCCTCTGCTGTAAATGCCAGGTCAGTTCTGGAGTTCCCCATTTCTTCCAGGCCAAATAGTCCCTTTCTCAGTGTGTCTCAGGTAGATGTTTATCTTCGCACAATTGTCCAATGATACCTTTTCCACTGTCTTCATTGCTACTTGATGGATCCCCTTTCCCCATGTATTATACTCTAAATGAACAAAATACCAAAGCATATGTTCAGTTTGCCTGATTGGACTTCCATTTCTCCAACTCTTTTAGGAAAAGAATTTGCAATGCGATTTGAGACAGCTCTCCTCTGCCTCCAGCTATTGGCAGCTTTTTGTCTCTAACCCACTCATTTCTTTGAATCTACCCCTGTCCTTGTCAGCGAGAACTTATTTCTTAGCTGAAACCCAGCTACGCTGTTCAATAAAAGGTTTTTCCTTCCCGTTTGATCGCATTAAGGCATGTATGTTTCAATTGACGAATATTTCCAGTTTACCAGCTCATCCAAAGTCTTCCTTCTGTTTTTATTCATCTTCCAGTTCTAGTCTTAATTATACATCACAGTCATGTACCCCAAAAACTCCCCACCTAGACCTTAGCATGGACCAGTCAATTGTCTTATAAACTACATGGTTTTGTGTCCCTTCTTCACCAAGCTGTGTAACTTTCGAAAGCTTCTTAAATTTCCCATGCCCCTGTGCTTTCTCTTGTGTGATAATAAAGGCAGTAAGATCTTAGGGTGGAATTAGATGGCAATAGTAAAATGCCTATAAATGTGAGTTCAAGGCCAGCCTGGTCTACAAGAGCTAGTTCCAGGACAGGCTCCAAAGCTAAAGAGAAACCCTGTCTCAAAACAACAACAACAACAAAAGTGTCAGGCCCAGGAAAGTGTTCAATGAACACTGCTCATCATGGTGTTCATAAACTGGTAAAACAGTATATTCTCTGATCTAAAGTACCTAAGGCATAAATTTATACTGGCTGATTAATCTTCCCATGGACGAACCATTGTGAAGGAATTGTATTTCAAATATCATTGAAAACAGTAAGGGCAAATTCTTGTGGTTCCAGCTCCTTCAGGAAGCAGAGTCTGAAAGATCAGGTGTGTGAGGCTATCCTGGGCTAAAGGGTGCACTCCACACCAAAAAGAAAAGAAAATAGAAAAAACAAAATACAACACAAATTTCGTTGAAGCATTGTTTATCTTCTGAGTCTCTGTGTCTGCAACATAGAAGGAAATTATTTTCTTTCTACTTCTAACTCAACAGATAACTCCCCCTGCTTCCAGAACTCATTTTAATTGCGGTAGGATAATGAACCCCTGGTATTTAATTATAACATTTGTGAAGGTGGTGGGTACCAATTATAAACTGAAAGACATGTTTCTTCATATTCTTCCTTACATCAAAATCATAATTTTAGAAATTAGATTAGATCTTAAAAGCAGTTTAAGTGATATCCTCTCCCATCGACACTATGTCACACCACTTCCTCCAGATCTCTAACTATGTGACAGCTATTATATGCTCTCAAGATGTCAGGACACATTCTTGCTTGGATCTGAGAAATCTCTTTGATGATAATCTGACAAATTCCTTAAATTACTCACGTATTTGAAGAGAGATCTCATAGTCCTCAGAAAATATCTATTTCTCTGATTACTAGGCTCCAGTTTCTAACAGAACTCTGTCCAGCTTAAAACTGTGTCCATGGTCTTTGTAGACTGAGACTGTGTTCTTTTGAGAAACGTACAATAATGATGCAGACCAGGGATGTGTTTTAAAACTAAACTATTGTTTTAACATTTAAAGTATTGGTTATTGTGTCCCATAGAAAAGCCGTGGTATAATTCACTAATTCAAATAATCAGTATCACTTTAGAAGCAACCAGAGAAGTCCCAGATAGAATCAATGTAACATTTTCAAACTATGCCCTATTAGAATGATGAGTAATTTATCTAATTTTTAATCTTGATGTTGTTTTACAATCAGTAAATGAGCTTAGACACAGACAAAATGAAATTATATATTAAAGTACCGTGTTTGCAGTGGGGAATAAGTGGTCATTACCTCTGAAGATCCAAAGTGGTGAGCAAAACATTATGACAGAAGGGTGGTGCAACAAACTTGCTTTCCTCCTGATATCTGGGAAGCCAAAAGAGACAGGAATGGAGCAAGGTCCCTGGATATCTTCAATGATATATTCCTCGTGGCCTAACTTCTTCAGTACAGCTTAAACTTCTAGCATTTTCAAAACCTCTCATCAGTTCCAACAGCTAGGGATCAACTCTTCAATATAAGAGCCTCTTGAGGCCACTTGAACTCAAAACTATAGCAGACCTGTTTTGGAAAGCAACCAATGTCTTTTAGTAAATAGGTCTAGCAAGGTGCGTTCGTAGCTTCCTAGAATATCATTGTATTTCAAACTAAGCCTTCCATGACCCCTGCTTTGACAGAGGAAGCTCATAGTCTCTATTATCCTAATTCCTGTCTTTGCGTTTTAATGGACCAATGCCATTCTGTCTGCTTCTGTATCATTTCAATAGATAAAGAGTCGTTTGATGAGAAAAGTTTTCATGCTGACAAATAGCACAATTCACTGGAGGATGGCATGCGTGTGCCATGTGTCCCTTCTGTCCCCTTTCATAGGTCTCCAGAAACGACCAAGCAATCAGAGTACTCCTACCAAGCACAGCTCCAGCCTGCAAGGCTTAGCAAGAGCTCCAGAAAGGAAAAAGAAACAGAGATGCACCTTCCATACTTGTACGAGAATATGTTCCTCAGTGAAACAGACCTGTTTCCCAACAATAAGATTTGGCTAGATGATAACTGTGCAATTTTTTTATAAAGTTAGTTTCCTTGGTGGAGGAAAAAGAAAGAAAATCAAACACCTTATTAAAAGTATTTTTATATTGACTCCAAAAGAGAGAAAAAGGTAAAGTTGCTTTAGTGGTTAAAAGTCCAAGTATTTGAAAACCGTTGTCTAGATACAAGCTAGATCACATACCTATCTGTAATTCTGCTATGAGAAATTTATTCCTAACTTATGAAATTAGGTGCAAGAGCCCATCTTTATTTCTGTACTCAGTTATATTCTACTTTAAACAGTTCAAACAGTTAATAAGTTTCCAGATGTTATGGTCTGATTCAACTAACTTCCTAAGGAAACCACAAACAAAAATAGAATGTGTATTCATCTTTATCATTTTTCCACACACCAACGCTTCCAACTTAACTGTTTCTTCTTTAAGGCTCTCTGATGTCTTCCAGTGAGTCTCTGAGAGTCCTAAGGGTAAATCCTCCACTCATTTCTAGAGTCCACAGTGCTACTCTTCCCAGTCATGTGACAGTGTCTTTAATTGCTAAAGCTAGCAGGATGCATTTTAATTATACCTTCATCATTTATTGCAGACAGTTTCTGTCGAGAAAAGGAGGTCTTGGGAATCACTCAGTACAAAGTACTTGTTGACTTGTGGGGGTTTGGCAGGCTGGGACAGAATTTCTGAGAAAGTATTAGTTGGATGTTCCAAAGAAAACAACCAATCTGAGAAGATCCTCTTGAGGGCCATTCACTTGACACCAGGCTGGTGGTTTTATCTTGGACTGAGGCCTCACGATCAAGACACATGGAGATACCTGTAAGTGCACAGTGCCCCTGTGACTCTCGTGACTGCTTCCATTTCTTAAGCGAGAGCTCACTAACTGCAAAGGGAATGGGACTCATCCCAAAGCCGCTGTGGGCTGTGAGTGCATTTCTCTGCCAGAACGTGTTAATGACTCACTTTCCTTAATAGACCTTTCATGAGGCTGGAATTCGGGGATGGCTGTCTGGAGAATGTCTGAGAGGAAGTTCACAAGCCACTGTCCTGGTTTATGGTGGAGAAAGCTTCCTGTGGTAATCAGAGCAGTCAGTTAAGGCAAACAGCACCATATTCCAGTAATGCTTCCCCATTACTTTCCATAAACAGTTCATGAAAGCGCAGCTTGAAGATTAGCACAGTCAGGCAAAGGACGCCGCAAACTTCTGCAGAAAGCCGTCAGTGGAAAACTGAGGCTAGCTTACTTTAGCAACTGTCTCCGTGGGGGAACCGAGACTCTGCCCTAGTGAATTGCTCTCATCCAGAGAGAATGTCCAAAAACAAAAAAGTGTGGTGTGTGTGTGTGTGTGTGTGTGTGTGTGTGTGTGTGTGTGTGTGTGTGAATTCCATCAGTCATTTTCCTGATCTGCCAAGATGACCAATCACTTTGAAGTATGCGGGCTTGGCCACAATGGAGTACACACGACTACTCTTTTTCACTTGCCTTTTTAAAGTGTATTTTAAGGTCTTTATAATTACTAAATGTTCTCCTTTCTCAGAAGATATTCTGAGAGCAAAGCAAAAATATCACTCTTGTAAAGCCGTTTCCATTCTTCCAAAGGTCTGCTGGTAAATTATTCCCACTGGTCTTTCCATCTTTCTAGCCTGTGCAAACACACCTAACCCATACTACATTTCGACAGATGGCGCTTCATTTCTTTAAAGGAAAGCAGCCGTGGGTTTAGACAGTTGAATTTTTAAACTTCTGTATTTACTGAAAGTGCATATGGTGCTATATGGACAAAGAAATTTTGCTGAAAGAAAAACATTTCTGTCTGCTGCACCTCGTCGGCTCTTAGGAGGAAAGTGTGCAGTTACACCGTGTACTTCTAGCAGAGCCGCCTTTGGCTCCAATGTTCTTCCCTTCCCATCCCTTCCTCAAAACCAGAAATGTGTGATGCTCGTATCAGAAAGTTTCTTTATTTTAAGTTCCTCCTTTGAACTGCAAATGGGAGGAGTCTGGAAAAGAGGGTTAGGGAAGGGACTTGAGTGACTTCTCGGAGAAAATGAACCCGACCCTGGACACCGAAAAAAAGTGAAATACACCAACCTCTGTGCGACAGCATAAGCAGATGCTGGTGTAGAGTTTACAAGGATGGGAGGGCTATAAAGCCTCCCTTGAGCCACTCGTAGTTCATTTAAAGGCCAAGAACGCCCCCAAAATCTGTTTCTAATTTTACAGAAATCTTTCGAAATTTGGCACAGTAGTCAAAAGTCCGTGGAAAGAAAAAAAAAAAAAAAGCTCATGTCCTGACTTCAGCTTCCAACTGGAAGACGGGGCTTGCTTCTTTTCAACGGTTTCCACAGATGCAGTGACCCACGCTGTGCAGTGAGAATCAGCTAACTTTCAAAAACATCTGGAGAAATGAAGGTTAGTGCGTGTGGTCCCGGGGATTATCAGGAAGCAGGGGCAGCAGGGGCTGAGTACTGTCAGAGTTTTCTTTTGTTTAGAGGATTTGTGTGTGAGTGTTGCTTCCCGGTGTGTGTTAGGATTGGGAAGTGGCTCTGAATATGCTGTAGAAACATTTGTTTTAGCAGAACTGGAAAGGCTCCAGCAATTACCGCCAGATCAGTGGAACACAATCACAAGCTTTGTAGGGGAGGAGAAGTAGGAGCTAGGGCTCGACAGAAATCTTACCATTCCTTAGTAGGAACTAAGCCCGTGTCGAATTTTCTGTATTCTATGTAGACATGGCTGAAAACTGTCTTCGGAGTTGCCACTTTGACTGCGCTTGCTTTACTGGTGATATGCATTGTCTTACGGCCCTCCAGAGGTAAGAAATTTTCTGATTCACTCAGCCTGCTTCGTGTAGCCTGGAAAACGCACCAATGTGTGAACTCAGATGGGTGAACGTTTCCTAAGTGCTTATTTTCCAAAGGAAGCCTGATATTTCTAAGAAGACGTGTAAGTTCACAGTTGTCTTGTGTGCAAGACCAGAAATACTGAAGAGTTAAGGGTAGGAAGAGATTTACAGTGTTATTTCAGCAACAGAAAAACCTGGGAGCTATTCCGCATCCCTCCCACCACCCCCAAAAATACATGCAGAAGACAAGTTTTGATAGGCCTCTCAAGACAATATTTTTAACTTGCATTGTTTTCTATTACTAGATTTGCCTGGTGGCAAGCAAAAATAATGAGTAAGAATAGAAAAGTTAAAAAAAGAACCTATGGAGGCTTTGAAATCACTAAATAGTGCTTCCAAAAAATGTAAGGAAGACGTTCAGAATAGAAGTCTCAGGAATAGCCCTATAGGAAAAGTAAAATTCTTATTCTATATGCAGTAGCAATTAACAATTAAATTAGGAGGCTTGGTATAGTTAAGCAAGCGTTATCAAGATAAATTGGTTTTTGTTTTTGTTTTTATTTATTTATTTTGTACAGAAAGGCTTGGGCTGGCAATGATACCCCTTCATTGAGACTTGAAAGTTGTTACACACTGATTTTGAAACTAGTTTTAATTTTGATATTATCAATTGATAATGATGCTTTCTATTTATGAAAATTCTTATGAACAGCAATTGTACTTCTAGAGCAGACACATAATGCAGGAATAGCAGATCCTGTGCTTAGGATCTGGGAAACATGATGCAGCAATAACAGATTTGGTACTGTAGGGTCTGGATAGGAGCTGGGAAATATCTGTGGTTAAAAGTGAACCAACACCAAAGGGGATTGATGGCACACCCTCAACCGAAGAACACGAGTCCTGAATTATCTGTTGCCTTTAAATTGAAACACACAAAAATATTGAAGAGTTCAAAATTTTCATGGAACTTTGATAGAATTAGAAAACGAATTCAGACTAGCCTGATGAAGGTCGTGTCCTTGTGTCTGCATTTTAATATTGACCTTATATGTCCACTCTCCACAGCACAAGATTTTTCCTGGGCTGTTAAAATGTATGTCCCAATTTTTATTTTTTAAAAAATAAGTTCAAGTTCAAACTGATTTAAAGCCAGACTAGCACCTCAATATCTTAGAGTAAACCCAGAGCTATAGAGTGTTGGGTTAGGTCACTGACCCTTTGAATCTAATCTATTAAAAATTATTCTCTGACTTCTGCAAATGCTCACTAGAGCTTGAAATGGATAATCTGCTCCTTTAAAAATTAACAGTTTTTAAAACAAAAGTATATGGACTTTATTAAGACAGCCTTTCGTGTCCACCATGTTGAACTTTGGACTTCGAAGTATATTTCCAATGAGAAGCATATTTATCCAATGCAAATAACATATAAGGATAGATATTTGGGTCTATACTTACATTTATAGATGGAGACATTTGTGTAATTACATATAATCCCAATCCTTATCTTCTTTCCAAGTTTTTTTATGAATAGCATACTCAAAAATATGTTATAAACTATATATAACATAAAAGTCCTGTGTTTTTTTTATAACATAGATTTCGGTTTTCAATGGAAAAGATAATTCTCTAAGTGATTTCCTGTTATTGTGAAATAATCAAATTAACCTCAAGATAAAATTTTAGGACTCAGTTAGTTATAATGGAGAAGTGAAAAATGCTTAAGACTGCCTTTCGGCGCATAACGTCCTCGTCTTTGTACACTTCAGAACTTCTCAGAATGTCGTCTGAGCAGCTTCTGAGTGAGACTAATCGTTCCTCACCTCAGCAGCAAGCCTGGGGTCTGGTGTGACAACCTCCTTCCATTGGCTTCTCTTCATTTTTCTCACGCCCCACACCGTCACCGTGTCCAAGCTGAGAATCGGGTTTCACCCTTCCTCACATTTCTCCAGTGCCTGAGGGGACAGAATTTGAGGTGTTCAGTCAGGGGAAAGTAGGGCGGGCACAGAAAGGAGAACTAAACGCTATGTAAGCCTCTACCCCCAACTTCATCAGAAATGCCATCAGCACACATTTGTTCTCTGTGTCCTTTGCTCCTAGTCCAGGTGCTACGTGACACTGTAACAGACTTAAAGGAGTCATCCACTCCTTAAGATATACACTAATGAGCTCAGACCCCTAAGTACCTCCTACCATTGCGCCGTTTTGGAAGCTCCAAAGTTCAAAAGTCTCAATTTTCCCTCAGGCAAACATGGGATAATTCTTCACTGTGCACACCTCAAAACACACGGCCATCATCACCATTACAGATTTCTGTCCTGCTCCACAAGTATAAGTGAAAGAAATAGAGTCAAGATAAAATGGGCACTTTCCTTCCAGGATCAGAAGTCCGCAAAGATCAGCCTCCAGTCTAAAAGAGTTTTGGAGGAAAGTGAGCAGATCTTAAGAGTAAGCAGAAACGTGGCAGTGTGTAAGAAAGCTGTGTTTAGCTCACTTGCATATTAAAAACAACTATGGCATAGCTCTTTCTGGAGCTCCCAGAAGATTTCCTTTTCATTTTAATCCAAACTGAAGACGCATGCATTTCCGCTGCAGTCCCATGTGATCCTTAGCTTCTGCCCCTTCATCTCTCTCTCTCTTTCTCTCCCCCCCCCCCCACCTCTGTTTATTCTCTCTCTTGAGGATTTCTTCCCTGCAGTCACCCTTAGACCGCTGTGATAGTGCAGGCAGGAATAAAGTTAGCACAGTTTCCCTTTATCTACACCAGAGACCACCATCACATAGACTTTCTTCTCGCAAGAGATTTACAGCTATGATATAAACTAAAACCAGAATTAGAAAGTTGCAAAGGTTTTAGAATTCCTTAAGATCTCTATAGCCTTCCTTGAGTCATGATTTGAGGTTTCTGGATTTTGCCTTTTCCTCCTCTGGTTCTTTGGATAGTATATTACCCCATGCAGTGATACACAGACACGCAATACATGTTAGCTGTGATTTTTTACCTTTATTTATTTTACATGTGCTTCTCTGTGTATATGTGTATAGGTATGTTTGTGTGGGTGGTTATCAAGGACAACTTGTGTGGGTTGGTTCTTTCCTTCTACCACGTGGGTTTCTGAGATGAAACTCAGGTTGTCAGACTGGTGGCAATCACCTTTAACTGCTGGGCCATCACACCATCCCAACTATAATTTTTTTATTCCAAAATTTATAGCATGTGTCATATATTAAAAAATGTGTCTTCAATTTTATTTTCTCTCCCATCCTAATATGGGCATATATATGTGATAAAGGATGATTCATAGATTTTACTGTTTGATATATTTAATTTTTAAAAAAAATCTATTTAATTCTGATAGTAGAAACCTATATGCCTGAGTGTTATCCTTGTTTCTATATTCCACTTGTTTGGACCTAAAACAACATATATTTTTAAAAAACATTTTTGTGTGTGGCAGTCTTAAAATGAAATAAAAATGTAGAGAGATGAAGGGGTGTGGGGACACAGCTGAGCGAGAGAAAGCAAAGGGGTCTCACTGTGCAGAGTCCCAGGCTCTCCTGAAGTGTGACTCCGTGTCTCCCAAGAAGGGCAGACCCTGCTGCTTTAGCCTTGGGCCACCATACGCCCTCTTCTCCTTCTTTCCGCTCTTTCTTTCATTGGTTCTTGCTGTCAATTTGACCTAGTGTGTTTCATTAAAATTTGTAGTGGATGCCAATTTTAAAATCAGATATCCCATAAGAAATTAAGTCTTGGGCTTCTTTACAAAAGTATTTCTTAAAGCAGGACCAGAAGTAGTCTGTTCTGACCACCAGGAGAACTTGAACAGAACTTTATTTTCTCACAGTTCTGGGATCTGGAAGTTTAAGGCCAAGGTGCCAGCTTGTTCCTTTCTCCAGACTTCTTTTGGCTTGCAGACTGCTGTGTCCTTACTAGACTCCTGGTATGAATGTATGAATGTCCCTGGTGCTGCTGCTTCTTCTGCTACATTTTTATGTAAATAAATAAAATGAAATGAAAAGTTTATTTTATTTTACATACCAACCACAGTTACCCTTCCCTGCTCTTCTTGTAACGACACCAATCCTTCTGGATTCGAGCTCTGCTTTTACAATGTCATTTAACTTCAATAACATCCTTAATCTTCTAAATACAATCACATTGGGTTGCCTTTCAACTTGTAACCTTTAAATTTATTTTGTGTATTTATTTGTGTTTTTGCGCGCGCACGTGTGTGCACACCCACACTTGCACCCTCGCATGCCATGGTGTCTGTATGAAGTTCAGAGTGCAGCTTCTAGGCATTGATTCTCGTCCTCCAAGATGTGAATCCTATGACAGAACTCAGGTCATCAGACTTGGAGGCAAGCACTTTATGTGAGGAGCCTTCTCACCTGCCCTCAACTTGTTGTCAGATTTTAGGGAACACAACTCCACCCATAAGAAGATAACAAGATAATATCTGAACTAGGACCTTAAGAACAAGAAGGGTAAAAGCTCATGACAAGCCCTTATTATAGGGGGAAAGCAAGACAAGGCCTCTCACTCAGGAATGTGTTTATAAGATTCATGAAACCAGAGCCATGACTCAGAGCTGTCTCAGGGATTAGCAAAGAAAACAGGATACACATAGAGATCGGCATCAAGTAAACTTGCATCACTATTGATATTTGTTAACATTCATTAATCATAGCTACTCATACCTTACATAATGGATTTTAGAATGTTTTTTAATTCATTACTAATTTAGATAGAACAGAGATTAGCACCTTCTAAGAAGAAAAATCATTTCAGTGCTTAAGTTAGGCAGAAATAATTATTATTCTCCTAACTATAAGTATTGTAACTCAGCAGTTACTGTTTGAAAAAAAATCTGTCAAACACAATCATTTTGAAAGGCAATGTAAACATGTTCTTAAGATTCTCCCAGTACTAACATCTGCAACTGTGGAGCAAACTCTCATATTTTTGAATTTAATCTCATTTATCCACTGTATTTTGAAGGGACTATGGGGGTATTCTGAAAGGTTGAGGGAAGGAACCAAAAAGGTCAAAGGCTTAAAAGAGCTTCTGGGTGGACTCTGAGCAGATCAAATGTGTATGTTGTATTTCTGTAATTGTTGCTCCAAAGTGGACTATTTATCCTAACAAAGCAGCTCCCTTTGAGTATTGCCGCATTCTCAGTAATTACAAAAATAGTCAAAGGCTTTCAGATAATTCTGTAATCCAACGAAGTTTATCTGTCTCGGATTTTCAAAGAAAACAGTGTCACACCTTTCACAGGGACAGCTAACCACAGACATCCCTTCAGAAAAACATAAAGAAGGCTCTAAAGTTCAAGTTGAGAATCTGCAAAAGCAAGCTTGATTTCTTTCACACATGACCCAACCGGGACTTACAAATGGCAGTGATCAGAAGACAGGGTACAAAGTGGCAATTTCTCTTTATAGGGCAGCCAATCAAATACAAAACCTCCCCTTTCCTTAGCATCCATCATACTCAAAGAGAAGGACATATTGCCTTTTTTTATATCCTTGTAAACTGGCTGAAATGAAAGTTCATGTGTTGTCACATGTGTGTAATCACAGCATTCAGGTCACGTGTTGTCACATGTGTGTAATCACAGCATTCAGGTCGAAAGGTCCAGATCAGGAGTCCGAAGTTCAGCACCTGCCTGTGCTGTGAGATGCGATCTTATCTCAGAAATCCAACATGTGAAACCTGAAAGGGACAGAGTCAGTACTTTTAAAACTCTCCCCCAAAACAAATACTAAGCCCAGATGGCTTCAACAGAGAGAGAGAGAGAGAGAGAGAGAGAGAGAGAGAGAGAGAGAGAGAGAGAGA